CCCTAGACTTTTATCACTCCTCTCTAGATTAATAAAATAATCTCCTAGTTTTATTTCTGGATGTTAGTCTTTTTCCTTAGATCCATCATGCATACATATTAATCAGTTTTAGATATCACTTTCATCATGTATCACCTCTTCCCTCAAACCTTTGGTGAATTCTTTTTTTTTTTTTTTTTTTGAGACGGAGTCTTGCTTTGTAACCCAGGCTGGAGTGCAGTGGCTGGGATAATAGACACGAGCCACCATGCCCAGCTAATTTTTTTTGTATTTTTAGTAGAGATGGGGTTTCACCATGTTGGCCAGGCTGGTCTCGAACTCCTGAGCTCGTGTGATCCACCCACCTCAGCCTCCCAAAGTGCTGGGATTACAGGCATGAGCCACTGCACCTGGCAAATTCTTAGCGTACCATTAATCAAAACTCTCCACTCTTTCATTTCGTAAAATTATATTGAGTTACTATATCCCAGACACTCAATGTAGAGTGAACTGGACAAAACTGGAGCTTACATTGTGCCTGCTATGCAAGTGGATTCCATATTAGCCATCCAAAATCATTTTGTAGTTCTGAACATGTATGTCCTGCTGTGGGCAAATTTTCCCCTATGTAGAACATGCTTGTTCTTGCTCCTATGCCATCATCCGTGTCATTCCTCTATCTGGACATTAACTTTTCCTAACCCTTATTTAAATTTCATGTAGGCTTCATGGCTCAGATCTACGGTGGCTTGATCTAGAAAGCCATCTTTGGCTACTTCAGACACCATAAATCTCTTGTGTTTCTCCCTAGAAATTAACTTTTACATCACATAATTTAATACAGAACTTGATGCTGTTTTGTACTCTTTGCTTTTAACATGTGAGTGCTTTGTTTATCCAGCTGTAGGCTGAAGATTTAAAAATGATGATATTTGACCATTTTTATCCATACAAATGGCAATTTTATATGGGGCAATCTTAGAGAATATAAATTGCCAAATATCCCCTCTCTGCCAGGCATCCAAATTCTTGTTGACTAACCAAGGATGCCTTTCTGTCTTTACCCCTGGCTGTCAGCAGTCATATCTTTATGTCACAAACATTTGCAATCATTCTGCTGTGTGATTCAGGGAGGAGGATAAAGAGTGCATGGCCTTTATGGCAGCTCAGTTATTCTGGGATCCTTTTGCTTCTTTTTATTTTTATTTTCATTTTTTTTTGCGGCGGAGTGTGCTCTGTCTCCAGATTGGAGTGCAGTGGCATGATCTCGGCTCACTGCAACCTCCGACTCCCTGGTTCAAGCGATTCTCTTACCTCAGCCTCTCGAGTAGCTGGGATTACAGGCACACATGCCCAGCTAATTTTTGTATATTTAGTAGAGATGGGGTTTCACCATGTTGGCCAGGATAGTCTCTATCTCCTAACCTCGTGATCCACCTGCCTCAACCTCCTAAAGTGCTGGGATTACAGGCATGAGCCACCGAGCTTGGTCCTTTTTTGTTTTTTAGATGGAGTCTCACTCTGTCGCCCAGGCTGGAGTCCAGTGGCGCAATCTTGGCTCACTGCAACCTCCGACTCCCTGGTTCAAACAATTCTTCTGACTCAGCCTCTCGAGCAGCTGGGATTACAGGTTCGCACCACCACGCCCAGCTAATTTTTGTATTTTTAATAGAGACGGGGTTTCACGATGTTGGCCAGGATGGTCTTGATCTCCTGACCTCATGACCCACCCACCTCAGCCTCCCAAAGTGCTGGGATTACAGGTGTGAGCCACTGCACCTGGCTCCTTTTGCTTCTTTATATTTGATTAATTTATCTTCCTATTTGTCAGCTTAGGTTCATGGCCATGTTCCAAATGGCTGAAGCTGCTGGAAGTTTTTTCTCCAGAAAAGTGAGGTAATAGTATTAAGTTTATTTTAGAATTTACAAGCATTCCTTTAATATTGTAGAAATGAAAACTTTATATTTATAACTTTCCGGGGTAAAGATATATTCAGAAGGGTTAAACCTTGCCTTTGCATATAACTACTAGAAACACTAGGAACAGAATCCAGCCACCCTAGCGTCTAGTCCAGAGGTTTCACCACTATGAAGAAGTGGACTCAGGTGTGATTTCTCCTAGGGTTCTTTTTTAAAAAGCATACACGCGTGCGCGCGCACACAAACACACACACACATACACACACACAGTGTATATAAAATTATATAAATTATTTTATATATAGTACATATATAAATGCATATATACACATATATTTATAAACATATAATATTTATTCATGTATTTATCTTGGATAAGTGCTCAAAAATAAATCCGTTGTCTTTCCTCCCACCATCCCAAGAGACTTAACTTGCACTCCCACTTCCTAGCCATCTTGGTAGGGGCTTGAGGTTAGGATCATATTACACAAACACTAGGAAGATAAGGTGGCCTCAAATAAGACCAAAGCCAGAGGAGCATACTACCTTCGGGTTCCAACCAAGAATGAAGAATAGAAAAGAGCTGCCAGGATGCCACTGGGCCGTTGGATCTGAAAATGACTACGGGTAAGACAAAGTCAAATGGGGCCTCCTGGCCAACAAGTACACGGCACTGAGGAAAGTCAGACATTTGAACTCTGCTACATCAACCCTAAACTGCTGTAACTTGCTAGAGTGACCACAGTCCTCAGTGGGGCTCAGCGTGGGGAAAAGTCCTCGAAACTGTGTGCTCCGGCTAGCGCTGATGCAGGGCATCACTGAGACCAAGCCAGGGCCAACCAGGATGAAATAAACCGTAACTGGTCAAAATGACTTAACCTTAACAAAATGACTTCCTTAACTGGTTAAAGCTTTTTTTTTTTTTTTTTTAAACCTAAACATGGTACGGTTTTTGCTTCTTAAAAACTTGGGGTATTTTCCAGTGGATGGCGATTTGATTCATTTGGGAGTCTCCCGGAGGAGCTGACCTTCGGGAGCTCTCAACATCCCATCATAACTCAGTTGTCTCTGGGTACTGGGAAGCAGTGGGATAGAGTGGAAAAAGCAAGGCTGATCTGAGGACAAATTCTAGCTCATCTACTTTCCAGCTGTGAGACTTCGGCAAGCTAGTTAACCTCTTTGAGTCTCGGCTTCCTTAAATGAAAAATTAGGACCATATCTACTTTGCAGGGTTGAGAGAAAGATCAAATTTAACAGACTAAAAGCATCGAATATAGTGTCTGACTTACAGCAAGGGATCAATAAATAATAGCTAATTAGCTTATCCCAATCTAAATAGAGATTTTCTATGATTTAGACTCATTCTTCCTTTCAAACACTTGAGATCAAGGGGAAGGAAAAAAGCTATGAAGGCCACACGTATTTTTTTTTTTTTTTTTTTTTTTAGAGGAAGGCATCAAGTTGTTCTTCTATTTGGATGGGATCAGTAGAAATTAATGTAAAGCAGTCACATCCATTTCTTTTGATATTGCTGTACATAAGAGAACAGGGCTTATACAAGCACACTTACTTTTGCCAAGGCCAAAATGCTAGGGGGAAGACATTTCATGCCTCAAACTGGATTTGAATCACTTATGTAAGATAACATCTTAGCGACACCTGGAAATTGTGTCTTACTCCTTTCCTACTTGTACTCAAATTAGTCACAGGCTAATATGACTTTATAACAACCCCTCAAAAGTAAAAAAGACACTTCATCTTTAGCATTAGAAGGCTGGTAATTTTTAGTTAAACCAGGTGGTCATCTGGGTATATGACAAGCGACAGTGAAATAGACCTGAGATGAGGTTTAGTTATCTCTATTTATTTCCCCCAAAGTGCATGTCTATGTGAACAAAATCGTGACAGTTGAGAAGAAAACATGTGTAGCCCTTCCCCCACTTCCTTGCTTCCCTGAACTCAACCTCTCTCCCGTTCTCCATATACCAAATTGCCCTATCTCCTTGAGAAAAGGCAGATGTTGAAAATCTGGTGAAAGTTTCTTTCTGTTTTCCATTAAACTTAATGTCTTGTTCTAAGGAAGGTACTAGTCTGATTTATTTACTTGGAGAGTGTGTATATAGCACTATTTCAGAGGTGTTATACTAGCCAGGTATTCAAAGAATACACATTTCCATTTGTAATAAAATTATGTCATCTTATTGTACAGTAACAAGGACAAAACAAAATATCAAGTTGAGATCTTTTTTCAGATTTTGCTATTCTTCACTTTTGTAATCTGTCTGTAAATTCTTTTCACCATTTTAGGTACTTCTAGAACTCAAGGAACTGTCAAATATCACTTTCCACAATCCAGTACCTGACAAATATGCCAAATATGCTTACCCTTCTTGTGTGAAAGAAGCCCATGAAAGCTGCCTGGTTGAACTTCCAGCTCAGGGATACACACATTTTCCCTCCCTCTTCTATTCTGGTCAAGATGGTCAGCATTGGAATTTGAGGCCTATGGCTTTCTTGCAGACTAAGACAACAGACTTTATTTGATTTACTTTCTTGCAGACCAATCAAAAATTACAATTAAGTTAAAAAATAACCTAGTGCTGACTTCCCCAAACCACAGTTTCAGAAACAGCTGCTTATAACTCATGTGTGGCACCAGGAAATTGCAGTGTCATGTTCAAGGTCCACAGCCAATAGAGACCTGTGGGATTGGGAAAAGGGCACAAATGATTCTTTTATGTTGGTTACCTTCACTCCCTTGGCACCACCACAAAATTCAAAATTTACAGGGGAGGAAGACAGAGCACTAGCAACTTGGACAAGGAAAAAGAAAGGAAAAAGCTCTTTCTCGTCAAAGGTCCTTATGCATCTGCCAATTCCTCCCCTCTGATTTGTCAAGTGACCTTCCATTTCAAAACAAGCCTCCTCAGCCATTGTGAAACATCTAGATTCTGAGCAACTGTCGGGAATGCTTTGATGAAGAGGACTGCTGCACTTGACAAACAACTCGGTGTCTGAAAGTCTAACCAAAGGACCCAATTCATGATGAACAAAGTCACCTGCCACTCACCAGGAACAGGCTGGCTTGACGAAATGGAAGAATCAAAATTGGCACACATTGTGAAATAATTTCCAAGATAATTTAGTTGTATTTGCTTGGCCAGACACCCATGAAATGTCATTTCTCAGTTTATTTAATAGGTGGGTAGAGTGAAGTCTAGTGACCTTGGCCAGGTGAGTTCATGGGAAGTTAGGAAAAAACAGCCTGTGGATTCTGCTCAAGCTTGAAAATCCTAACACACCTCATGAGAATATTCTGAATCCTCATTCAATTTTTAAATTTTACTCCTCTTACACATAAATCCTTAAAAATAGAAAATAACAAGTAGGTCGGGTGTGGGGGCTGATGCCTGTAATCCCAGTACTTTCGGAGGCCAAGGTGGGAGGATCACTTGAGCCCAGGAGTTCCAGACCAGCCTGGCAATGAAGTGAGATCCCTATTTCTGTAAAAAACTAAAAAATTGGCTGATTGCAGTGGTATACACCTGTAGTCCAAGCTACTTAGGGGCTGAGGTAGGAGGATCCCTTGAGCCTAGGAATTTGAGGTTGCAGTGAGCTATGAGCTATGAGCTATGATTCGGCAGCTGTGCTCCAACCTGGGTGACACAGTGAGACCCCGTCTCAAAATAAATAAATACCACCAAAGTATATGGGCTATTCCTATTTCAAAAAGTTGCTCAAAACTCCATTTTCCCATAATTAACCTTTGAGCTCCTTATCATGGCTCAATGCTGGGATGTTGGTACATAAACATAAAAGTGTCTCTTTTCTAATTAGCTGCTCCTCACCCTACCCAGTCCATATGGGACTGCTCTAACAAGACTTAAATTTTGGCTAATCAAGCACTTTACTGAGGGTGGATTGTTATGCCACCAATTAGCTCTTATCTGATCCTTTCCCAAAGGTGATAATTTCTACTTAAAGCTTGGAAACTATGTGATAATTTAATCTGGTTTAATATAATTGGGTAGATTTATGAGTGGCCACCATCATTCCTATCAAATTACATTTTTCTCCCTGCTAAAAACTAGGTCTTGGGCAATAAGATTTAAAAAATTTCAGTTTCATTTTTCTCAGTGGCTAGAATGTCAAAGATGAAACCAGGAATGCAAATTTCTTATCCAGAAAAATATATGGAACGGGGCCTATTTCAGACAGTTTTTCTGCACTAAGTGCCTCAAATGGTGTGGCTTAAGTCAAACCACAACTCCACGGAACTTAATGAAGCAATTGCAAAGAGTAAGTACCAGAATGTACTCCAAATATTCTGAGCCCAAAACAGGTTATAGGATCTGTTATAGGTGCATGTGTTTTATTTATGAGGAAAATAAACTACGATATTTTAAATTGAGACACTTCCAGAAAATTCTCATAGATGGTAAGCAGAATTTTGCTTCTCTGTTAATTAGTTACATGTTTGAAATAAATCTGATTTAGGTCTCTGCTATTCCTTTTGGCCCTAGTTCTGACATTATTGACTTCATTGAGCAGTAAATGAGGAAAAAGTTCTAAGTGTTTTGTTTTTTTAAATCCACTTGACATCTGATTTTGGGAGACTAAGTGGTCTTTTTAACTCAGTTTTCCTTACTTAATATATGAGAAAACTGAGCCCAGAGAGGTGATGAGATCTATGTAAGATCACTCAGCTGATTAGTGACAGCTTCTGACTCGCTTCCTTAAGCACCCTTCACTACTTCAGGAAGGGGCCTTTCTGAGGGCATCTGAGGTCAGACTGTAGCACCAGGGTTTGGTTCAGCCCAGAAATTCTGTCACTGGGTGCCTACTGACCCACCTTGTAGAAATGGAAGATTTCTAAAACTGAGTCCCTGCACAGAAGCAGGATTGTGCAGACTAAATTAGTCCAGGTTTAGACCCAGAGTTTTGATCTGAACTGGATCTGCCTTTGGCTTATTGAAAAATAATATCTCTAGCCCTTATATGAAGTCCTTGTACAAGAATTCTCTTAAATGGTCACATCTCATGCAATTTTCTGAATATGAAGATGATCTTTTATTTATTTATTTTTAAAGATGGGGTTTCACCATGATGGCCAGGCTGGTCTTGAACTCCTGACCTCAGGTGATCCACCCACCTCAGCCTCCCAAAGTGCTAGGATTACAGGCGTGAGCCACTGCACCCGGCGAAGATGATCTTTAATAATATCTTATTGATTGAACTGCTGGGAAACTCATAAAGTAACACAAAAATTCTGTGACAGAAACAAACTTATCAACTTAAACCCTAAGCAGCCAGGCACAGTGGCTCATGCCTGTAATCCAAGCACTTTGGGAGGCTGAGGCAGGTGGATCACCTGAGGTCAGGAGTTCGAGACCAGCCTAGCCAACATGGCAAAACCCCGTCTCTACTAAAAATACAAAAAATCAGCCAGGCGTGGTGGTGCATGCCTGTAATCCCAGCTACTCGGGAGGCTGAGGTGGGAGAATCATTCGAACCTGGGAGGCAGAGGTTGCAATGAGCCCAGATTGCACCACTGGACTCCAGCCTGGGCAACAGTGTGAGACTCCATCTCAAAACAAACAAACAAACCTATCCCCAAAACCCTAGGCTATTTGCCAAAACTAGAGAAGTTACTTTATTAAAAGGAGAAGCATCTGGCAGAATAAACTTCAAAAAAAAAAAGAGAAAGAAAAAAAAAGGAGAAGCAACTACAGCTGGGGTATGTACATATGTGGGAGAAACTGAAGAAATATGGCTTTTCAGAAACAGGAAAAACAAAAGCAGCATTACCGGATCATTTAGGAGAATGAACTGTTAAGAGTCAGGAGAGACATAAACACTCAGAGCAAAGAAGGGAAGAAGTAGGGAAGGATAAAAGCAATAATAATAATAATAATAACAGTGATAATTTAATTTTTTAATTAAAAAAAGAAAATATTGGGCTTGATGGTTCTGTGGAAAAATATACTTTTTTAAGTTTAAAACATAGAGAATACAGATGCTTACAAAGAACGAAGAAAGTTTCATTGCTCAATGAAGCTGACTGAGATCTGAAATGGGAGTTGGAAATCTTGGTTTCTATTCCCAGCTACGTCCCCAGTAAGCTCTGTGACCTCTTTTGTTAATCATGTAACTTCTCCATGCCTCAGTTTCCTCATCTAGGAAATAAAGTGATTGTATTCAGTCACTGAAAATCAGATGATCAATAAGGATCTCTTTCAATTTGAAGATTGTATGATTTTATAATTAACAAGGAAGACATCAAAAGAAACTTGTTGAATAGCTCCAGGAATGTAGAAAGGGAATATCTGGGGAGCTAGATAAAAGGTGAGTTTAACCAGACTAATTAGAAGAGACTCCAGGAAATTTTCAACAAAAGTAAAATAATGTCATCAGCTTTTTGTTCCCCTGCCTGCTGAGCTCCATTCAAAGAGGGAAGTAAGGCCTTTTAGGAATCATCCCCTCACAGGTGTGCAACCAGATATCAGTTTTCCTGAAAATCTCTGCAAATCCCTTCCTTTCATCAATGCATTTAATTAGCTAATGTTTGGATAGCACTTTAGGTATGTAAAGTACAATATAAGTGCTCAACATTATTATTACTTAACAGCTTTTATGGGACCAGCCATTCCTGAGATTAAATGAGAAACTAAACTGAGTCCCTGACTAGAAGGCTGTGATCTAATACATTGCTGGCTCACTGATGAGGAAGAACAAGCACTGCACGTATATTGAAACAGGTACTCTTTATTAGCCTGTATATCATTACCTAAGATGGTTGGGGATTTTTACTCTTTGCTTCAAGGTCCATTAAGTAGAAATCACAACTCACAATACTGATTATGATTTCACATGTACTGTATTTCTAGAATATTATCTGTTGTATCTGTGGTGTCTGCATGTCTGAGCATCTGTACACCCAAGATATGGTTTCAAATACATGGGAATTTACTATACAATAAAGGTGGGGAAGACAAATTATTTAATAAATGATGTTGGGGCAAGTGGTTGGCTATCAGGGAAAGCAAATAAGCTGAATCCCTAACTCATCTCATAAAAACTGTATTTTTTGATAAACTGAAAACTTAAATATAAAAAGAAAACCATAAAAGTATTTTTAAAACTATAATGCAATATTAGGGAAAAATATTAGAAATTTCAAATATTAGAAAAATCGAATTTGCCCCATTTATGTGGGGTAAACATTTTATAATCTTAGAAGTTATAAAATGGTGATAAATATGAATACATAAAGTAAAAAATTCATTCAATATAAAATATCATTTAAAAGTCAAATGACGGGCCGGGCGCAGTGGCTCACGCCTATAATCCTAGCACTTTGGGAGGCGGAGGTGGGCGGATCATGAGGTCAAGAGATCGAGACCATCCTGGCCAACATGGTGAAACCCCGTCTCTACTAAAAATACAAAAAAATTAGCTGGGCGTGGTGGTGCACGCCTGTAATCCCAGCTACTCAGGATGCTGAGGCAGGAGAATTGTTTGAACCCAGGAGGTGGAGGTTGCAGTGAGCTGAGGTTGTGCCACTGCACTCCAGCCTGGCGCCTGGTGACAGAGTGAGACTCTGTCTCAAAAAAAAAAAAAAAAAAAAAGTCAAATGACAGAAACAAAAAAAATTCCTATTTATATGAAAAAAGTGCCAATTTCCTTAATATACACAAAGCTCTTTTAAATTAATAAGGAAAGGATCAATGATATAACTTAAATATAGGTTAATTAAAAAGGCAATTCAGAAAAACTACAAATGGCCAATAATGACATAAAAAAGATGCTCAACTTTACTTCTCATGGAAAAATGCAAATTAAAACAACACTGTGAAGTTATTTTTTGTTTATCAGATTGTCCAGAATTAAAAATATTATTAATATAGAAAATTAATGTGTGTTCAGGAAAACAGGCACTCTTAAGACAATGAATGGAAGTATTAAATTAGTTCCACTTTTTCAGAGAGCAACTGGCAATATTTATCAAACTGCAAAGCATGCATAGATTTGCATGACCTAGCAGTCTCACTTTAATGAATTTACACTAAAGAGATATTCACACAAGTGCACAGGGAAATGTAGAGGGTGTTCACTGCAATATAGGTCCTCAAAGAGAAAAACTGGCACAGAAAACAACAACAACAACACACAACTTAGGTTTAGCTGGGCATGGAAGCGTGGGTAGTGTGTACCTTGTAGTCCCAGCTACTTAGGAGGCTAAAGTGGGAGGATCCTTCAACTCTAAGATTTTGAGGCCAGTTGGGCAACACAGTGAGACCCTGTCTCTTAAAAAAAGCAAACAACAACAACAACAATAACACGTGTAAGTTATAACCTAGCTTAACTTACCTAACTTACACTATAGGATAACTCTATTATGCAGCCAATAAAAAGATGAGGTAAATCTTCATGTGTACTAAATGTGTAGACATGCCCAAATGTCCACAGTATAATGTGAACTGGAAAAGACAAAGCACAGGAAGGTGGCACAGTTTGATTCCATTACAAAAATGTAACATTTGTAATTTCTTACAAGGTCTGGATGGGCACAGACTGGCTACAGTGAACTAACACCACCACTGCAGTGGGATATAGGGGAGAAAAGGGCTGACTTGAAAAGCTCAGGTGATCTTCTGCTTTAGCCTCCTGAGTAGCTAGGACCACAGGTGTGAGCCATTGCGCCTGGCTGATTTTTAAATCATAAATATGAATTGTCACTTTTATAACAAATATTTAAATTGTTTAAAGAAAACCAATGATAGCTCTGCTAAGCATGGTTTCAGAAGCAAGCCAATATAATTTGCATATGCATATATATAAACATAAAAATGTAGAAAACCTTGCTTTTTTTAGTTTTAGATGACCTGTGTTTTCAATTGTCCCTAATAACATGTTTATTTTCACAGAAGTTCTTGAAAATTCCCTATCAGTGAACCTGTCATGACTATTTCCGGCTTGTTTGCTTTCCAGGAGACTTGTCTGCCTAGTCAGAATGTTCCCTTACTTCTGGGTCTCTCAGGCTTCTAAGGTAACCCATTCAATTAGAATGACTTATGCAGTGTCAATAACCATATCTAATACCAGGCAACTTAAGGATGGTTTTTGTTTACATAATCAACACTGAATTCTAGACACTTAATCTTATCTCTTTAAATACTCGACTGAAACTTAAGTAACCAATCAGTTAGAATGCACATTGCCATCGCTTCTCGGCCTTTTGGCTAAGATCAAGTGTAGAATGCACATTGCCGTTTTCTTTCGTTTTTTTTTTTTGAGACGGAGTTTCGCTCTTGTTACCCAGGCTGGAGTGCAATGGCGCGATCTCGGCTCACTGCAACCTCCGCCTCTTGGGTTCAAGCGATTCTTCTGCCTCAGCCTCCCGAGTAGCTGGGACTACAGATGCATGCCACCATGCCCAGCTAATTTTTGCAGTTTTAGTAGAGACGGGGTTTCACCATGTTGGTCAGGCTGGTCTCAAAACCCTGACCTGGTGATCTGCGCGCCTCGGTCTCCCGAAGTGCTGGGATTATAGGCGTGAGTCACCGTGCTCGGCCCACGTTGCTGTTTTCTATTAGGAATTCACTGACATGTTTGAAATGCCCTCCTCCAGCCAAAAGTCAGGTCTGCTCCACCAGGGCTTTTTTCTTCCTGCTCTGACAGAGATGACCCACTCTTACTGTTTCACTCCTTCAGGCACATTTGTAATGAATAGTAAAAGGAGGAGAAACAGTATTGGTATCAGATATTTTAGTCTATTCCTCATCTATTCAGAGGTCACAATAATTTCACACTACTCAAAGTATTGTGCCAAGAAAGTCTGTTACCCAATTGGAACATTTTTTACCATGTAGTTTGATGTTAATCCAAGGAAAAGTCAATGTACTGACTGACCTGCCTTAGACTTGGCCTGAAGAAGCAAATGAAAACCATGGTTTTGCAATAGGAGGGCATTCAAAGATAAGATTAGGTTCAAAAAGAAAAGCATTTTGAGGCCGGGCGCAGTGGCTCACGCCTGTAATCCCAGCACTTTGGGAGGCCGAGGCTGGTGGATCACGAGGTCAAGAGATCGAGACCATCCTGGTCAACATGGTGAAACTCCGTCTCTACTAAAAATACAAAAAATTAGCTGGGCATGGTGGTGCGTGCCTGTAATCCCAGCTACTCAGGAGGCTGAGGCAGGAGAATTGCCTGAACCCAGGAGGCGGAGGTTGCAGTGAGCCGAGATCGCGCCATTGCACTCCAGCCTGGGTAACAAGAGCGAAACTCCGACTAAAAAAAAAAAAAAAAAGAAAAGCATTTTGAATAGCATGCCCACCTGAGACATGTTCAGAGGTTCAGCAAAATCTAAATAGAAAAGAGTCCTAAGAAAGCAAACAACCAATTTTCCTGAGGGTTGAGGGCAGACAGTCTGTGATCTGGCTCAGGTCCTAATGTCCTTCTCCGCGTCACCTGCATTTGCCATGCTAGCTTCTCTGCAACACCAGACCAGAAGAAGGGAGAGCTGATGCCCATCTAGATTCATTTGCTCCGGGCGGCAGCTCTAGCAGAGGGAGACTATCCACCGGGGTAGAATTTTGTAGGAGTTGTAGAGGTTTCAGTTTTCCTTGGCCTCCCTGTCCGCCATGAATGTGGCTAATTGAAGAAAAAGGATATTACTTCATTCCTCACAGTCCGTTTTCTTAAGTGAAGAGAACTCAGCTAATTGAAACTCCAAGCAGCTGTAGACCAGCTTATGTAAACTGAGAGGTTTTGTTGGTTATCCTTTTTTAAAAATTACATTAAAAAACTGAAGTATAACATAAGGTAAAGTACAAAAATCTTAAATATATAATTCAATGAATTTTTAAACATGTATGTGAAGCTACTAATTGTCTTATCTGCTCTCCTGTCCTCAAGCTCCAACCATTTCAAATCATTCTCTATGCCATCACCAGAAAGAGCTTATTAAAAAAATCATAGCTTTAACAAATAGTAATAATGACATCAGCAACAATCACCACCATTCCCATGGCAGCTTGACCGTTTTGATATGTGCCAGTCACTGCTCTAGGCTTTCATTTATTTGAGACAGGGATTCCCTCAGTCATCCAGGCTAGAGTACAGTGGTGCAGTCTTGGCTCACAGCAACCTCTGCCTCCTGGGCTCAAACGATCTTCCCACCTCAGACTCTGTAGTAACTGGGACTATAGTATAGGTACATGCCATCATGCTCGGCTAATTTTTAACATTTTTTGGAGATAAGGTCTCCCTATATTGCTCAGGCTGTTTTCAAACTCATGGGCTCAAGTGATCTTCCTGCCTTGGCCTCCTAAACTGTTGGGATTATAGGCATAAGCCACTGCACCCAGCCTTGCCCTAAGCTTTTAATTCATTCTCTCTTTTTTTTTTTCTTTTGAGATGGAGTCTCACTCGCTCTGTCGCCCAGGCTAGAGTGCAGTGGCATGATCTCTGCTCATTGCAACCTCTGCCTCCCAGGCTTAAGCAATTCTCCTGCCTCAGTCTCCCAAGTAGCTGGGATTACAGGTGCACACCACCACACCCGGCTAATTTTTTGTATTTTTAGTAGAGATGGGGTTTCTCCATGTTGGCCAGGCTGGTCTCGAACTCCTGACCTCGTGATCCACCCACCTTGGCCTCCCAAAGTGCTGGGATTACAGGTGTGAGCCACTGTGCCTGGCCCATTCTCTCATTTAGGATAGTATATGCAAAACACTTAGAACACTGGAAGGCACACAATGAGCATTAAAAAAAATACCCATTATTTCTGTTATTCACAATTGTTATAAGAGGTTAACATTTTTATCATTACCAATTATAGCGGATAAAACTGAGGCTCAGAAGGCTTAAGTCATGTGCCCAGGGTTGCCCAGCTTAGAAGTATGGAGTAGTGAGCTGGACTCCCAGAGCCTAAGCCCTAAGCGTTATGCTTTAGTGTCTTGCTAGAGCTGGTATTTTTTTTTTTTTTTTTAATTAAAGGACCCTGAAGCCTCTTATGCCCCTAGAGGATGAAGTTTAACTCCTCAGCATGCCCTATTAAGTCTTCCCTGAGCTAGGGACAGCCTCTTTTTCCTCACTTACTTCTAGTCTTTATCTACCATGTATTTATATTCTGCTCTCGAGTTGCCTGCCTATTCCCTGAAAAATCTATTATGATAATAATTACCATTTATTGCTATTACTATGTATAAGTTCTGGGTGCTTTCTGTATTTAATTCTAATTATCCCTGTAACTTCCCCAAATAAGTATTATACTAATTTTGCAGGTAAGTAAACTGAGATGTAGCAGGTTAAAGGACTTGTTTATGGTCAGAGAGCTAATACGCATCAAAACTGGAGTTCGAACTCAGGCCTGTCTGATTTTAATGCTAGGTTCTTTTTCTTCTATGTGAACTCCTCTCAAGTCACACTCTTTCCCATCTGGCTCAAACGTCACCTAGTTTCTAAGGCATTTGTGACTGGTCACCAGTTTGCCTCCTCTTGCTCCACTGTCATCCATAGTTATGAACAGATCACTTTTCTTTTTTCTTTTCTTTTTTTTTTTTTTTTGAGACGGAGTCTCACTCTGTCATCAGGCTGGAGTGCAATGGCATGATCTCAGCTCACTGCAACCTCCAACTCCCTGGTTGAAACGATTCTCCTGCCTCACCATCCCGAGTAGCTGGGATTACAGGCAGCACCACCATGCCCGGCTAATTTTTGTATTTTTAGTAGAGACGGGGTTTCACCATGTTGGCTAGGTTGGTCTCGAACTCCTGCGTGATCCACCCTTCTTGGATCCCAAAGTGCTGGGATTACAGGCATGAGCCACCGTGCTCAGCTTTAGATCACTTGTTAAGAAAAAATGGCTCTTGCCTAATTTCTATTCTAGGTCTTTCCAAGTGCATTCAACCTTTGCATTCAAAAAGCTAAACTAAATATTTCTGGAACATTCCTACTGCAGGCCCTGGAACCAAACATTTAAATAACAACTTTGTCCAAACAAAATGGCAAGTTGGGGTTATTGACTAATGGCATGAACACAAAGGGCAAATGGAGAAGCTGCCACTCGAGTGCCACATGGACTTCAGAAGAACTTCTAGGGGACGTGTGATTCCTGAGCTCCTGGGACATGGGTAATTCCTGAGGAATGAGCTAGCCAGCTCACTAACCAAGGGGACAACAGAGGGTGGATTCTGTGAGCAGCCAGAAAGGCTATAATGGGCAATTTTTAAATCGATCTTGAAAAGCGTTTTATTATTGGAATAGCTAACATTCTTGTTGATTAGGCAGGATAAAAAAATACCCTAACATTTGAACATTTGGTACATGTTCAGCTCCTTCTGTTTATCAAAAGTGAATATTAATGTACAATCTATACAAGTCTCACAGCTTGTCAGGAAGTGGCTCTGTAATTGCTTCCTGACAAGTTCTGGCAGCATTTGGTTGTGATCATTCAATCTTACTTACATTTAAGATTATAAAATAAGTTAATTCTTTAACTAAAAAAATAGCCTGCTCCCAAATGGACAAAACATATTATCAAACAATTCAGGCCAGGCACGGTGGCTTACACCTGTAATCCCAGCACTTTGGGAGGTCAAGGTGGGAGGACTGCTTGAGGCCAAGAGTTTGAGACCAGCCTGGCCAACGTGGAAAAACCCCACATCTACTAAAAATACAAAAATTAGCTGGGCATGGCGGCACACGCCCGTAATCCTAGCTACTAGGAAGGCTGAGGCACAAGAATCACTTGAACCCAGGGGTGGAGGTTGCAGTGAGCTGAGATTGTACCACTGCACTCCAGCCTGGGCGACAGAGTAAGCCTCTGTCTCAAAAAAGAAAAAAATTGACACAGTAATAAATACATAAAAAGTTTAGCTTTACAAATAAAAAATAGATATGCAAAGTCAATCAATCATAAGAAATCTTTTTTTTTAACCTTAAAAATAGCCAAAGCTTTGTGTTTTTTATGACAATGGTTATGCTCCAGTGATACGGAGAGCTTGCCTATACTGTTGATGTGTATGGATAATTGTATCTAGGGCTTTGAAAAGGTTCAAATATAGTAGTGTTGAATATATAAAGGCTCTGCATATAGTAGATCCTCTTCTGAATTTATCTTAAATAGTCAGAAGGTAAATAATTTGCACAAAGATGCATATAATAGTATTATATATAATAATACAGAATTGGAAACCTAAATACCCAATACAAACAAGACGGCTAAACTAATGATGGCAATGGAATCTTATACAGGCATTCAAACTAGCTAATTCTTCTGAAGATTATTTAGTAAGTTTTTAAAAAGTCAGGATAAAAACTGATGTACTATAAAAAATAAGCCCTACTTTAAACCTATACATTCACAGAAAAGAATAAGCTGGATATGTAACATTAGATAATGTTAACCTTGGTGCCATCATAATGATTATAGCAGTGGTGGCTAACTTCTGCCAGGTATTGATCCCATTGAATCCTCACCATATCATTATGGGGATCTTACTAATCCTGTTGTATAGATGAAGATACGAGCAGAGGAGCTGGGACTCAAACTCAGGTCTACCAAAGGCTAATGTCTGAATCTCTGCCATGCTGCCTGGAGGGTTATTTTCTATTCAGTAACTATCTGTGCTTCCCAAATTCTCTGTAATCAGCATACTTTTATAATCAAGAAAAAAACACAACTTTAAAAATGGGAATTGGGGCCAAGAAGGCCCTTTGAAGTTCCATGTTCTGTCCCGTGACGGCCTGTGGTATGGTGGATAGTCCCACCACTGAGTCTTCTTACTGTTCTCCTTGGCTCTGGGCTCCCTTCCTTCAATTCCCCTTCCCTTTCTCCTACTCTTTCTAGTGAAGGTCATGGAGCTACTGGGCCTAGTGAGGGAGGGAAGCCCTTGCTGCAACGAGGGACCACCCTGGGGCCAGTCTGACCCCCTGGTTTTCTTCCCTCTTTCGCCTCCCTCTTTCGCCTCCCTCCTGACTGCCCTTAAGCTTTCCACCACCTCCTGGGAATAAGCCTGGTTCAGGTACTGGTTTAACAAAACAACACAGGGCATCCTGGGGTTAACTCTGGGCTTGGCCTTTCACAGTTCTATGATTAAATTGCATTTTTCAGTGGTTCTGCCTTTAAACTCAAACCCCTTTAAAGAGAAATTTAAGGAGAGCAAAACATAGGAAACAGTGCCAAATGCCGGTAACATATTTTAGTCGTTTGGGGACTGGGCAGCTTGAGAAACCACAAATTCCCACTTATGCAAGGGCTACTTGAGCTTTTTTGCTTTATTGCTTAGTGACAGAAACCTGGCTCTTAGACCATGGTCAGAGTTGTTCTCTCTTGTTTTCTTTCTCTTCTCTCTCTCTCTGAAAACAGTTATAAAAGGCCTGGGTTGGCCGGACACGGTGGCTCATGCCTATAATCCCAGCACTTTGGGAGGCTGAAGCGGGTGGATTACCTGAGGTCAGGAGTTCGAGACCAGCCTGACCAACATGGTGAAACCCCATTTCTATTAAAAATACAAAAATTAGCCAGACATGGTGGTGGGTGCCTGTAATTGCGGTTACTCGGGAGGCTGAGGCAGGAGAATCGCTTGAACCTGGGAGGCAGAGGTTGCAGGGAGCCCAGATCGACTTCAGCCTGGGCAACAAGAGTAAGAGTCCATCTCAAAAAAAAGAAAAAAAAAAAAAGGCCTAGGTTATCACAATGGGAGTTGGTTAATCAAATAATAAAAGTCATTGGCTACTGATGATATCATTCGTTCAGACTAACAGGCAGACGGTGTCTATGTCTAAGTACCTGTTATGCCAGCTCCATAAACCCAGTCATACTGAACTACACATTCTCAACTCAGGAGGCTCCACACCTGTGACGTTACCATCGGTTGGCAAGGCTTTGGTACCATGTGCTCAGCTGGGTGTTCTGTCTCCTTCCCCCTAAAGGAAGTGGCTAAAAGGGGAAGATGAGATGAGAATATTGTCTTGTGTCTATACTTTCCAAAATTTTATATGAGTGGTATAATATAAAATCGAAAGAATTCCAGATAGCTCTTTTCTGTGGCCTTAGATCTGTTTTGACTGTCAGGGACTAGGCATCAAAACATCAGAGTCCAATTGTGAGGTTCTTCTTCTTAAGCCCCTGCCATCAGAGTTACATTAAGGTATGGCCCAGACAGCTCCAGCATATGAACGAGTAAACTGCATTAAATCACCACCTAAGGTGCTAGTGAGCTTAGGTTTTCACGTACATTTCTTAAACTACTGGCAAAAGTGAACTAGTCTCACTTGAGAATAGGGAGATAGCAGTGAAAGTGTTTAAACATTTCTTTGTATAGTGGGCACTGAGCATTTTGGTGGTGAGCATGTGTAAGGTGTAGAGGAGAGAAGGAGCCCTGGAGTGAGGCAGCTGACAGTCATCGAGTCAGCAGTCAACTAAAATGGGTCCAGGTGACTGGTTCTATTACATACATGTTAAAATGGACTGATTCAGTAAAACTGTGAACAAAAAAACCACAGAAAGTAAGAACTATATACAAGGTGGAAAAAGATACAAAACTCCTCAACAAAATACTATCAAACTAAATGCATCCACGTATAAAAAGAGTTATATACACTCTGGCCAACTGGGATTTCTCCTGGTAAAGGAAGGTTAGTTTAACATCTGAAAAATCAAATAATATAACAGAGCACATTAATAAAGAACAAAAGCCATATGATCATCTCAATAGACATAGAAAAAGCATTTGACAAAATCTAATACCCTTCTTTGATAAAAACACTCAACAGGCCAAGCATGGTGGCTCACGCCTATAATCCTAGCACTTTGGGAGGCCGAGGCGGGAGGAATGCTTGAGCTCAGGAGTTTGAGACCACCCTGGGCAACATAGTGAAGCCCTGTCCCCACCTGCCCCCGCCAAAATAAAGACTCAACAAACTAGGAATAGAAAGGAACTTCGTTATCTGATACAGGACATCTGAAAAGCTCACATTTAACTTCACACTTAATGGTGAAAGACTCAATTTTTTTCCTAATAAGATCAGGAGCTAGATATGATGTCTGCTCTCATCACATCTATTCAATATTTTACGGGGAGTTCTAGCCAGGGCAATCATGCAAGAAATAGAAACGAAAAACTCCAGAATGGAAAGGAAGAAGTAAAACCATCTCTAGTTTCAGATGATAAGACCTGGTACACAGAAAAGTTGGAAATATTTTGATGACACAAAAGTCAGAAAAAAATTAACTTTTAAATGTATTTTGAACAAGACTTTTTAACTATATCCATGTATATTGCTTCTACTCTTGAAGAGACTAAATGACTAACCCCGTCCAGCTCAGAGTTATGGAAAAGCTTATGAAGAAATCTCATTCCTAATAAGTAAAAAAGGTAGTGTTACTGTCAGAGCATGTAATACACTCTTCATTTTCCAACATAAAGATGATGTAACTATATTTTATTAATAGAAAATCAGTTTCTCTTCCATCTACTAAATATATTGAATACTATTTAAATATGAATTGAAAATATGTTTAATGAATATCAAAGTACAGGATACCAAATGACCAGCCTGCTTGGGTGCCCACACAGTTCAGTCTGTTAGGCCTGTTCCAGATCTCTTTGAAGTGGACCATGAAAGACTCCATATGAACACGGAGCCTAGAGTAAGATCAGAAACAAGCCGCCATCATGTGCTGCTGAAACTGAGATCCTCGGGTAGATGAAGCTGAGAACCTGCATGTCTCTCTATGAAGATCCTTTAAGGCACAA